TTAATTTTTATCACGTTAACTTCATCATAGGGTACCGATTGAGGGTTACACGTAACCGACCCCCGAACCCAATTCTGGTTATAAAGGCCATTATTGGATGTTTTTTTTATAAATCTTTTCTTTTTCCAATGTTTTGAGTAAAACATTGGTGGCGACTTCATGAACCTATTTTTTTTTAAAACCATTAATTAAGGATTAGTCTGGTGTCCGGGCATTCCTTAATTGATGAGATTTTAAAAAGGATGTATACAAAATAAGTACAAAGCCAGGCAATTTTCGGGTTGCGACACCCCAAAGCACCTAGACTTTTCATATCGGAAGATTTAACAAAGCTTGTTACGAGGCATTTCAATCAATCTTCTTCTCTCTCTTTTATTTCTTATTTTTGATTAGTATTGTTATAATAAAAGCAATCATGTAGATATTTTAGAGCAATCATGTAGATATTTTTCAACATTTGTCGACCCAAATAATCATCATGCAGACATATACGACTTTCATGCCCTATATTTTCTCACGATTGACACAAAATGTATCTAGAAACAACCATCTCAATTTCTCAACATCAGGGTCAAGCATATAAAAATCGTATACCTCATCATCATTTGTAGACTAAAATAATTATCATATAAATACAATCAATTCATATCGAGATGAAGGACAAAGGCAAATATATAGGGCTTTCATGCACTATATTTTCTCAAGATCAATACAAAATGTATGTAACAACAACCATCTCAATTTTTCGACATCAGGGTCAGTTATAAGATAACATACCTTTTTCATCATTTGTCCACATAAATATTCAGCATTTAAACACAAGCATATTTTATCGAGAAGAGGGACCAAAACAAATATATAAGGCCTTCATGCCCTATATTTTATCATGATGAATATAAAATACTCTAATAACAACCGTCTCAATTTTTTGACGTCTCAATTTTTCGACATTAGGATCAGACATAAAAAGATCGTATACCTTTTCATAATTTGTCGACTAAAATAATCATCAAATAAATACAACCAATTTATATCAAGATGAGGGACAACCACAAATATATAGGTCATTCATGTCCTATATTTTCTCACGATCAATACAAAATGCATCTAACAACAACCGTTTCAATTTTTCGACATCAAAGTCAGGTATAAGAAGATAGTATACCAATTTTTACCGGGATGAGGGACAAAGGCAAACATATATGGCTTTCATGCCGTATATTTTCTCACGATGAATACAAAATGTATCTAAAAATAACCGTCTCAATTTCTCGACATCAGGGCGAGGCATCAAAAAATTGTATACCTCTTCATCATATGTTGACCAAAATAACCATCATATAAATACAACCAATTTATACCGAGATGAGGGACAGAAGCAAATATATAGGACTTTCAAGCCCTATATTTTCTCAAGATCAATACAAAATGCATCTAACAACAACCGTCTCAATTTTTTGACATCAGGGTCAGACATAAAAGATCATATACCTCTTCATAATATGTCGACTAAAATAACCATCATATAAATACAATCAAATTATACCGAGATGAAGGACAGAGGCAAATATATAGGGCTTTCAAGCCCTATATTTTCTCATGATCAATCCAAAATGCATCTAACAACATCCGTCTTAATTTTTTGACATTAAGGTCAGGATAAAAGATCATATACCTCTTCATCATTTGTCGACTCAAATAATCATTCTGTAAATACAACCAATTTTTACCGGATGAGGGACATAGGCAAACATATAGGGCATTTATGTTGTATATTTTCTCAGATGAATACAAAATGTATCTAAAAATAACCGTCTCAATTTCTCGACATCAGGAGGAGGCATCAAAAAATCATATACCTCTTCATCATATGTCAACTAAAATATTCATCATATAAACACAACCAATTTATACCGAGATAAGGGACATAGGCAAATATATAAGGCTTTCAATCCCTATATTTTCTCAAGATCAATACAAAATGCATCTAACAACAATTGTCTCCATTTTTTGACGTCAAGGTCAGGCATAAAAGATCATATACATCTTCATCATTTGTCAACTCAAATAATCCTTCTGTAAATACAACCAATTTTTACGGGGATCAGGGACATAGGCAAACATATAGGGCTTTCATCCTGTATATTTTCTCACGGTGAATACAAAATGTATCTAAAAACAACCGTCTCAATTTCTCGACATCAGGGTGAGACATCAAAAAATCGTATACCTCTTCATCATATGCCGACTAAAATAGTCATCATATAAATACCACCAATTTATACCGAGATGAGAGACAAAGAAAAATATATACGGCTTTCATACCCTATATTTTCTCAAGATCAATACAAAATGCATCTAACACCAACCATACCAATTTTTTGACATTAGGGTCAGGCATAAAAGATCATATACCTCTTCATCATTTATCGACTCAAATAATTGTTCTGTAAATACAACAAATTTTTACAGGGATGAGGGACATAGGCAAACATATAGGGTTTTCATGCTCTATATTTTCTCACGATGAATACAAAATGTATCTAAAAACAACCGTCTCAATTTCTCGACATCAGGGTGAGGCATCAAAAAATTGTATACCTCTTCATCATATGTCGACTAAAATAGTCATCATATAAATACAACCAATTTATATCGAGATGAGGGACAAAGACAAATATATACGGCTTTCATGCCCTATATTTTCTCAAGATCAATACAAAATGCATCTAACAATAACCGTCTCAATTTTTTGACATCAAGGTTAGGCATAAAAGATCATATACCTCTTTATCATTTGTCGACTCAAATAATCGTTCCGTAAATACAGCAAATTTTTACCGGGATGAGGGACATAGGCAAACATATAGGGCTTTCATGCTCTATATTTTCCCAAGATGAATACAAAATGTATCTAAAAACAACAGTATCAATTTCTTGACATCAGGGTGAGGCATCAAAAAACCGTATACCTCTTCATGATATGTCGACTAAAATAGTCATCATATAAATACAACCAATTTATACCGAGATGAGAGACAAAGGCAAATATATACGACTTTCATGCCCTATACTTTCTCAAGATCAATACAAAATGCATATAACAACAACCGTCTCAATTTTTTGACATCAGGGTCACACATAAAAGATCATGTACCTCTTCATCATTTGTCAACTCAAATAATCGTTTTGCAAAAACAACCGATTTTTTTACCAAGATAAGGGACAGGAGCAAACATATAGGGCTTACATGCCATATATTTTCTCACGATGAATACAAAAATTTATCTAAAAACAATCGACTCAATTTCTCGAAATCAGGGTCAGGATTCAAAAAATTGTATACCTCTTCATCATATGTCAACTAAATAACCATGCTATAAATACGACCAATTTATACCGAGATGAAAGACAGAGGCAAATATATAGCTCTTTCAAGCCCTATTTTTTCTCAAGATCAATACTAAATGCATCTAACAACAACCATCTCAATTTTTTGACATCAGGGTCAGGCATAAAAGATCATATACCTCTTCATCATTTGTCGACTCAAATAATCGTTCTGTAAATACAGTAAATTTTTATCGGTATGAGGGACATAGGCAAACATATAGGGCTTCCATGCTCTATATTTTCCCACGATGAATACAAAATGTATCTAAAAACAACAGTATCAATTTCTCGACATCAGGGTGAGGCATCAAAAAACCGTATACCTCTTCATCATATGTCGACTAAAATAGTCATCATATAAATACAACTAATTTATACCGAGATGAGGGACAAAGGCAAATATATACGACTTTCATGTCCTATATTTTCTCAAGATCAATACAAAATGCATATAACAACAACCGTCTCAATTTTTTTACATCAGGGTCACGCATAAAAGATCATGTACCTCTTCATCATTTGTCAACTCAAATAATCATTCTGCAAAAACAACGATTTTTTACCAAGATAAGGGACAGGGGCAAACATATAGGGCTTACATGTCATATATTTTCTTACGATGAATACAAAAAGTTATCTAAAAACAATCGACTCAATTTCTCGAAATCAGGGTCAAGATTCAAAAAATTGTATACCTCTTCATCATATGTCGACTAAATAACCATGCTATAAATACGACCAATTTATACCGAGATGAAGGACAGAGGCAAATATATAGCGCTTTCAAGCCCTATTTTTTCTCAAGATCAATACTAAATGCATCTAACAACAACCGTCTCAATTTTTTGACATTAGGGTTAGGCATAAAAGATCATATACCTCTTCATCATTTGTCGACTCAAATAATCATTCTATAAATACAGCCAATTTTTACCGTGATGAGGGACATAGGCAAACATATAGGGCTTTCATGCTCTATATTTTCTCACGATGAATACAAAATGTATCTAAAAACAACCGTCTCAATTTATCGACATCAGGGTGAGGCATCAAAAAATTGTATACCTCTTCATCATATGTCGACTAAAATAATCATCATATAAATACAACTAATTTATACCGAGATGAGAGACAAAGGTAAATATATACGGCTTTTATGCCCTATGTTTTCTCAAGATCAATTCAAAATGCATCTAACAACAACCGTCTCAATTTTGACATCAGGATCAGGCATACAAGATCTTATACCTCTTCATCATTTGTCAACTCAAATAATCATTCTGCAAAAATAATTTTTTACCGGGATGAGAGACAGAGGCAAACATATAGGGCTTTCATGCCATATATTTTCTCACGATCAATACAAAAATGTTATCTAAAAACAATCGACTCAATTTCTCGATATCAGAGTCAGGCATGAAAAAATTGTATACCTCTTCATCATATATCGACTAAAATAACCATCATATAAATAAAATCAATTTTTACCGAGATGAGAGACATCGGCGAATATATAGGGCTTTCGAGCCCTATATTTTCTCATAATCAATACAAAATGCATGTAACAAACGTCTGAATTTTTTGACATCAGGGTCAGGCATAAAAGATCATATACCTCTTCATCATTTGTCAACTCAAATAATCATTCTGTAAATACAGCCAATTTTTACCGGGATGAAGGACATAAGCAAACATATATGGCTTTCATGTTGTGTATTTTCTCACGATGATTACAAATTGTATCTAAAAACAATTGTCTCAATTTCTCGATATCAAGGTGAGGCATCAAAAAATTGTATACCTCTTCATCATATGTCGACTAAAATAGCCATCATATAAATACAACCAATTTATATTAGATGAGGGACAAAGGCAAATATATACAACTTTCATGCCCTATATTTTCTCAAGATAAATACAAAATGCATCTAATAACAATTGTCTCAAATTTTTGACATCAGGGTCACGCATAAAAGATCGTATACTTCTTCATCATCTGTCAACTCAAATAATTGTTCTGCAAAAACAACGATTTTTTTACCGGGATGAGAGGCAGAAGCAAACATACAGGGCTTTCATGTCGTATATTTTCTCACGATCGATACAAAAATGTATCTAAAAACAATCGACTTAATTTCTCGACATCAGGTAGGCATCAAAAAATTGTATACTTCTTGATCATATGTCGACTAAAATAACTATCATATAAATACAACCAATTTATACCGAGATGAGGGACAGACAAATATATAGGTCTTTCCAACCCTATATTTTCTCAAGATCAATACAAAATGCATCTAACAACAACATCAGGGTCAGGCATAAAAGATCATTTGCCTTTTCATCATTTGTAATATAGCTAATTTTTACCGGGATAAGGACATAGGCAAACATATAAGGTTTTCATGCTCTATATTTTCTCACGATAAATACAAAATGTATCTAAAAATAATCATCTCAATTTCTCGATATCAGGGTGAGGCATCTAAAAACCGTATACCTCTTCATCATATGTAGACTAAAATAATCATCATATAAATACAACCAATTTATACCGAGATGAGGGACAAAGACAAATATTTACGGCTTTCATGCCCTATATTTTCTCAAGATCAATACAAAATGCATCTAACAACAATCGTCTCAATTTTTTTGACATCAGGGTCAGGCATAAAAGATCATATACCTCTTCATCATTTGTCAACTTAAATAATCATTCTGTAAATACAGCCATGTTTTACCGGGATGAGGGACAAAGACAAACATATATGGCTTTCATGTTGTATATTTTCTCACGATGAATAGAAAAATGTATCTAAAAATAATCGTCTCAATTTATCGACATCAGGGTGAGGCATCAAAAAATCATATACCTCTTCATCATATGTCAACTAAAATAACCATCATATAAATACAACAAATTTATACCGAGATGAGGGACAGAGGCAAATATATAAGGATTTCAAGCCCTATTTTTTCTCAAGATTAATACAAAATGTATCTAACAACAACCGTCTCAATTTTTTGACATCAGGTTCAGGCATAAAAGATCATATACCTCTTCATCATTTGTCGACTCAAATAATCATTCCGTAAATATAGCCAATTTTTACCGGGAGGAGGGACATAGGCAAACATATAGGGCTTTCATGCTGTATATTTTCTCACGATGAATATAAAATGTATCTAAAAACAATCGTCTCAATTCCTCGACATCAGGATGAGGCATCAAAAAATCGTATACCTCTTCATTATATGTCGACTAAAATAGTCATCATATAAATACAACCAATTTATACCGAGATGAGGGACTAAGGCAAATATATACAGCTTTCATGCCCTATATTTTCTCAAGATCTATACAAAATGTATCTAACAACAACCGTCTCAATTTTTTGACATCAGAGTCAGGCATAAAAGATCCTATACCTCTTCATCATTTGTCAACTGAAATAATCGTTCTGTAAATACAGCCAAGTTTTACCGAGATGAGGGACAAAGACAAACATATAAGGCTTTCATGCTGTATATTTTCTCACGATGAATACAAAATGTATCTAAAAACAACCGTTTCAATTTATCGACATCAGGGTGAGGCATCAAAAAATCGTATACCTCTTCATCATATGTCGACTAAAATAATCATCATATAAATATAGCCAATTTATACCGAAATGAGGGACAATGAAAAATATATAAGGCATTCATGCCCTAGATTTTCTTATGATCAATACAAAATGCATCTAACAACCATCTAAGATTTTTGACATTAGGGTCAAGCATAAAAAGATCATATACTTCTTCATCATTTGTCGACTAAAATAATTATCATATAAATACAACCAATTTATACCGAGATGAGGGACAGCGAAAAATATATAAGGCATTCATGCCCTATATTTTCTTACGATCAATAAAAAATGCATCTAACAACCATCTCAATTTTTCTACATCAGAATCAGACATAAGAAGATAGTATACCTTTTTAATCATTTGTCAACAAAAATAATCAACATTTAACACAACCAATTTTTACTGAGATGAGAGACAAAATTAAATATATAAGGCCTTCATGCCTTATATTTTCTCATGATGAATATAAAATGCATCTAATAACCATCTCAATTTTTCGACATCAGGGTGAGACATAAAAGATCATATATACCTCTTCATCATTTATCGACTAAAATAATCATTATAAATATAACAAATTGATACCGAGTTGAGGGTCCCTACATGATAGTTTTGTTGGATAATCAATAGTCTCCCATCACACTTTTATAGGTTCTAACAAAAATTAATAAATAAAATTACCAAAAAAGTATAAGTTTGAGTAGGCACTTCGAACCTCTCAAAATCATTACCAAGAGAAAGGCCTTTACAAGAAGAAATTAAAATAAAAATATAATACAAAAAATATAATGAACAAACTCATAAATGTAAAAGTGGTTTCTAATGTTTCACTCACCTCTTTAGTGTTTGATCTTTTCAAGATCTCCATAAGATAATCTCACCCAAGTGGCAAGTCCTCCTAGGCTTTTATCATAATTCCAAAATGTTACCTTCAGTTGAAAATTCATCACCAAATTAGAAAAGTTTAAAAAAACAATCAATAAATATAACTAAACTCTAATGTATCACTACCATATAATATTCCAAATCCCATATAGGTTGTTCCTGAATTCCAACAAGACACATTCAATAAAATATAAGTGAATAGCTATGTCTTCCAAGTTTTAGATTGAAATAAAAGATGCAATAATGTTTGCTCTACACAGCCTATTATTTATTCGCTAACAACAAAAAAACAGTTTATTATAGTAATACAAATCATAACAAAATACATACATCTTTAAAATATGCATAAAAAATGCTTATTTACAAACCTAAGAAGCTTATATTATTCTTAAATTACATAAATCAAATTGAAATTATCCTCATCAAATCAACCTTCGAAAATTTCTTTTCATTTTTTTTCTCTTGAAAAACAAAGATAGAGAAAAAGAAAGAAAAACTTGTCAATTTATTTTAGTGTTTTAAAACTTCCTTAAATAACAATTCCAAGCTATTATGGATTTTAGTTTAAAGTTACTTTATATTATGCTTAAGGAGGATATGCTAGACATATAAAACAAACCATGAGCCTTCACCTAATAAATTAAGCTTTTGGGGGAGTTGTTCCTTGCCAAATTCAAAAGGATAGACACATGACCCTTCCTTTATGTCCAATTCTGCTATTGCTTTGGTTATGTCTGGATTCAACTCGTGTGCTCATCATAGTAGTTTAGGGAAAATTTTGGTTCAAAAATGTCACCATTACTTAGTTAATCAATTTGAATCATGCTACTCAATCATCTGTCATTGTGAATAGGAACTCAATCAACCCTGGTTAGCAAGTATAATGGTTGTAGCAAAGAAAAGAGAAATATAGTAGCCACAGCTATTAAACCTCAAACGTAAATCACTATGGCCAGATTAAACCTGTTAAAACACTACATGTCCACACATCAATTAATTTGTAACTGAATGGTTTATTAAGGGTCTTATGTTGTCAAGATCACTACATGCTTGTGTCTCTGCATGTGCACATGTGATGGACTGTATAAACAATTTATGGGAAATTATATTTCAACCTTGTTAACAGTGTGGTATGACCTAGGAAATGTTTCCAATAGATAACTTGGCACCCAATATCAATATTGGCATACCATAACATTTCCTTTCCCCTCGATATGACGATACCCTCTAGAAAGAGAAGAAATGAGAGAAAAATCATTACCTCAAATCTACTAAGGGATAAGTTTAATGAGATCATCATACATAAATGAATGTCCTGCCTAGCATATTTTATCTGAAAGGGCTGTGTTGAGAAACTGTTGTCTGTGCTATCAATCCTCCAAATTCCATATATATTGCTCGGGCCCAGATCATGAGCTGGCAAATCAGAATTTACTACCATATCAGTTATTATTGGTTCAGCATATACGACATAGTTTCTACAAAAATTTTCATATGAAGAAATATGTAGATGCACAGAGAAACATAAAAGTGTAGACTTTAGGTTCAAGAATAAAAAACCAAATACCACAATCTCATGACTGGCCAAGAAATGTCCTTGACAAACAACATGTCCATATTTATGGTGCCATTAGTTAGAAATTAAATAGGATTAATAGGTCACTGAAGAAGGTAAACAAAATTCCAATCCAAGCATCAATTTTTCCCTATAGATAAACACTATTAGGCATTACAAACAAAACGATACCACTTCACAAAAAATGATACTTTACAAACATATTAGAAACCAATCTTTTCAGCACAACATATTATTCATGACAGAAGAACACACCACCAAGAAATTGTAACCACTACAAATAAAGACTGGTAAATATGTAAAACATCTAAAACACACTGATATTAGTCCATGAGTATGTTTGGGCCAGCTTTAAATTTAACTTAACTTCTACTTATAAGTAAAAGTTGGACCAAAAACTTATTAATAAATGCCCTTAAAAAAAGTAGCATAACTTTTATGAACAAATAAAAAGTAGCTTATAGAAAAGCTAGTACATGTAGCTTATATGGAGCTTTCATGGAGCTTTGTTTAAAATATCCACTTTTGGAATCCTCACATAGTACTTTTTAGGGTGTTGCTCCTTGCTATATTTTTTCCCTTTGATTTTATTTTTCACTTTATACTGCAGGTGCTTAGTTGAATTCACTGGGAGAATTTGAAAATGGTCACTCACATCCTGCTCTCCATCACCATGAGTCAGGTAAGGTTTTTTATCCTAGTCTTTGCTCTTTCCTTATATCTTGGTCTCTACTCTATCCCATTATAACAGATTACATAAGGTAGGCATAACTCTATCCATTATAACAGTAAAATAAATGTACGAAAATAACATCCATAGGGTAACAATCACCCTAAATAAAAGCCCATATGTTCACATTCCTTAAACATTTTATCATTTGTAAACAATATTTAAATTTCTTTAATTAATATTATATGTATTATATGCAAACTAACAGGATCGAGACACAAAAGTGTCTCTATATATATGACATAAACATACTTGTTTATAAACTATAAGTAACAATTTATTTAAGTTAGATTGTCAGACAGTTATAATTTTATGCATAAAAAAATGTTATTTTTTTGCGCTAGTAGTTCCATTAAGGTGAAAAACCACATTGTATCATGTGTGTAGTGGAGTTTGGTAAATGGTTGGGGGAAGTTGTGGAGTAATTTATTCACAAATTTCTCTCAACATATTCTACCCCTTATTCCTCCTTTGGCTTTCATACACTTGCAGCCTAGTAAGCTCACTCCTCGTCCAATTTAGTAACAATTTATTTATACTATTGGAAAATAATGTCACACCTATAGACAATCAAAAAGAACGGTAAAGAACCGAAAAAAAAAGAAATAAAAAAATATATGTATATCTTGAAACAAGAACATGGAATCAGCCAAAACATTAAATGTGGAAATTATCCAAAAAAGGAACAACATTCACTTCCAATTTCCTCCACATAGACATCTTCCTATATTCATTTTGATTTACTTAAACTTTCTCAATATACCGGTTTTAAAAATGAAATTAGAATTTTGAATTATAAAAACTAAATTAAAATCTTTGTTAGTTCTCAATAATACAGAGGGCAGAAAAAAATTCACAGAGCAATGAATAGAAATACTGATGGTTGAGCTGTAGGTAGCAAAATCAGCCAATAATTTGGTAATATGCACCAGAATTCAGAAAATCACAAATCCTTCAACAAACAAACATACAGACACATATACAACTCTAAACACATCTTGGAAAAAAAGTGTTTATACATACAAAAGAAAGGTAAAATACATATATGTACTATAAAAGAAACATTTCATAACCCGAGAAATTATTAATAAATTATATCAAAGCTAAAAAAGACAATAAGAAAGAAAGCCAAAGAACCAAAAATTAACAAAGATGATATGAAAACATGGAATTGATAAAATTAAGCAGAGAATCAAATTCATGAATCAGAGTTAAAATAAAGAACAAGTGAGAGATAAACATGCAATCATTTCAAAGCCAAAAGAAACAATCAAAAAGAGAGTCAAAGAACCGAAAAATTTAAAAAGATCATGAAACGAGAACACGGATTTGACGAAATTAATCAAAGAAATAAAAATGTGAAACAGGGTGAAAGATAAACATGCAAGAAAATAATGTTAGAAGAAAGAAAAAGCAAAGACCTCAGCAGGGAACCCGTTCATGCGAAGCATAACCCATGGCCGAGAAACCCTAAAATCAGACATGACCCAGTAATGCCAAGGAAATGAAAATTTTTAAGGAGAAAAAGTGTGCAGTGTCTCACAATTTGGCTGTAGCAGATTAGGAAAAATCTAACCTACGCTACCTTTTTAATGAAGAGTAAATGTGCAATATTTCTTATTAATATTTTTTATATTTTAAATGGATAATATTTTAATTATCTGTTAATTCTTTTCTCCTTTAATTGTTTTTGTGGATAATATATATTTTCTATATCTTCAAATAATTTAGGGATGTTATGTAATGTATAATATTTTATCTCCTGATTTCATTAGATTTTAATTAGTAAGTTTAATTCATATTTTATTATATATAAAATAGTTGTAATTAAAAATAAAAATATTAATAAATTATTGACATTTAAGATAATTACTTAAACTCTAAATTAATTATAAAAATATTTGTAAAATGATAAATGATAAATATAATTATAATGAAATTAAAATGAAAGTGTTTATTATTTTTTTAAAAAAAATTTAAGGATTAATTGAGACGAAATTAAATTTTATCATATTAATTTTAAAACAAGATAAATTTTTAAGATTTATTAGGATAAAATTAACGTTTAGGTGCCTATTTATAAATAAAATAAAATAAATAAAATAACATTTAGGATAAATGAATACTTTTTCCCTAATTTTATTATTTTTAGTTGTAATTTTTCTTGGCTAAATTTTTTTAATATTTGCTTTATATTATTGATTTTATCCAATTCTTTCTATTTTATTATAGGTAAAATATGCAATTTTATTTATAATTTATAGTATTGTTATATTTTTTTTATCAATTTTTTCATAGTTAGATCAAGTCTTTCATTCATATTTTTTATTTTTTCCGTAAATGCCATTAGTATATTTTTTTTACCTGTACTTTAGGTTTCTGATTAATTTTTCTTTATTTTTATTATTAGTTTACACAAGAGACTGTATCAAAACTCTTCCATCTTTGAAATAACAACTTTCTAATTAATATATGTTCAGTGATTTTCATGCACTTTTAATTTTCACTCTTTTTTAAAATATAAAGATAAAGATATTAATATATAAAAAATAAACATATTCTATATCTTTATAAATTTTTTAATACAAATATTTTAGTAATTTAATTCCTTTAAATTTTTTCATAAATCTAATTTGTTATTAATTAGTTAAACCTTTGAATATAATTCATTCACCATAATTGTTTAACTTATTCATTCATTTGTTGGAAAAGTTATATTATTCTCTATTTGAATCCAAATTTACTTAGTAATTATTGTAAGTGACACAAATAAACTTGACAATTAACACACAAAAAAATACATTATTTAGTGGGAGACAATTTTCTGCTACATCCAAAAAAATAAGAAACTTACTAAAAAAAATTACAACAGATTAATACTAACTAAAATGTGGCAATTAAATAGTAGAGAAATCAATTTGATAATACTATTTTTGTCTTTTTTCCCTTAAACTTTTTTAATTTCAATAGTGTAAATTAGGTTTTCACATTTATTATTTGTTTATTATTTTTTTAATTCATTTTGGTGGATAAAGGAAAAAATTGGATTAAAATATTATAATAATTAGTAATAATTATTATAGTTTTACAATAGTATAAAATAAATTGTTACTAACTATAAATTAAAAACAAATGTATAAAAAATATTAAAATAAAAGCAAAAAATCAATATATATATAAAATAATGAAAATAATTAGATTAAAATATTTTAATAATTATTAAGGAAAATTAATTATCAATTTCATCTTAAATTTATTAGTTTTAATAATATTTTTTATATTTTAAGTGGATAGTATTTGTTAATTTTTTTTAATTATTTTCTTTCTTTTGTTGTTTTTTGTGGATAATATACTTTTTTCTATATCTTCAAATAATTTAGGGATGTTAAGTAATGGATAACATTTTATCTGCTAATTTCATTAAATTTTTATTATATCAGTTTTAATTCATATTTTTAAGATATATAAAATATTTGTAATAAAAAATAAAAATATTAATAAACTATTGACATTTAAAATAAATAATTAAACTCTAAATTGATAAAAATAAATAAATAAATAAAAACTATTAATAAAATGAATTTATTGATAGAACTGCTAGGTTTTAAGCATAAGAAATGCCCAAGATTAGCATAGTAGAAACATTACAAGATGAGGTAATACATCTTCAGCATTCTAAAAAGCAGAAGAAAAAAAAAAGAAACTAAGAAAATTAAAACAAATCAGATGGGTACTGCAATTGAGTATGATTTATAAATAATTTTAACAAAAAATTATGTATGCTCCATTCCCCTTAATGATACTACGTTCAAGTTAAATTTATAAATGGCAAGAAAATCATTATGGAATTTGGCACGTACTTAGGACAACTAAAATAGTGTAATCTTGTGAGATATCATGTGGGATCTCAAGCCTTTTTTACTTCAAGCCAACAGCTGCCACAACCAATAGAAAAATATGCATTTGTGAAACGAACAAAAAAAGTAAGAACATTGTCAAAAATAATTAACAATTATTTATAGTACAATAGTAAACTGAAACATTATTTAGCGAAAGTGAACCTACTTATAAACAACTAAACATAACTATTAACAAAGATTGTCTTTAAAGAAGAGGACATTTTTGCTAGTTTATAATTATCATGTGTGCAACATCTCATGAAGATAACAAGCTAACCCTACATAGCCCTCTACTCTTTAGCTTTGGCTTTGGAGCAATCAGTGGAATAGATAATCATGCATAATGTTTTCTGTTAAAGATTGGAAAGTATTCCTCATGCTTGCTGCTATAAGCTATTTTCTAAAAGGCAAACTATAAGAATAGCATGCAATTGGCAAGCCTAGGACAAATTGTTGAGCTTAAGTTTTCCAAGAAAGTATAAGATTACAAAGTGTGTTTTAATCTTTACTAAGGACTATTAGATTGAGTTGATTAACAGACACTCAACCAAATTTTTTGTCTTTGACTGGAATTCTAGGAGTTATTTAAAAAATTAATATCCATCTAAACCCTAAATGAAAAAAAAGATGAAACTGAAAAATCATTTGGCATTTAAGAGAAAAATAATTGCAACCATTATCTATTTGTTCTGTAGAAAAAACCTAAAAGAAAAAAAATATTAATCAAAATTCAAAAGTAATGTAATAAAAGAATCGAACAAAACATAAAAATCTAGGTAGCTTATTATCAAGAAACCAGGGGAATCCGCAAACACGAAAAAGCTTTAAAAATGCTACTTACAGAAGAAATGTAATAGAAATATTACTTTTTACAGGATTAAATACCTACAGAAAATGGCAGGTCCAAATTCTTTTGACAAATATTCATGGGTCTATTTGTAGCAAAAATAAATAGACAATTGATAAAGTTCAGTGCTCTTGAAAGCTTCAGCTATTAAGTGAATACACTGTAATAGTTTTATTTATATCTTTGAGACGAAATGTCACAATGCAAGCTTTATTTGGGCAGCATCCTTTACTTGATGAAATTTAATTTAATTATGAATAATTGGGCATGTTAATGGATTTACATCTCTAAAGCAACAGAAATTACAGATAATGTTAACATCAATAATCAGTATGATCTGACCTGGCCATATACTTGGCCTTCTCAGCTTCCTCCCATGATACTGCACGTGCTTCAATGACACTCTTAGGTGGTTCTGCTTTTGCTTTCAAGGAAGTGGATGCGTCCTTATCCTCCTCTTCTTTGCTAGCCCATGCAGCAATGTTCATTTTACCTAGTATCTAATAAAAGAATCAAACCCTATCAATCTATATATCAAGAATTATGTGGAAAAAAAAATAAAGGAAAACTTGAGAGAGGAATGTGACCAAAAAATCTCGTAACAAGAAAAACTCAAACTACTAAACGTCCAATGACATTAAGATATTCAGAGTTTAAAATCAGAGTCAAATAATTTACCTTCAAAGTCAGACCCTGAATCAGGATCATAAAACATATCAAAATATAAAGATACAATACAAACCCACCATTAGTTTCATCTTCAACAACAACATCATCCCTAGGCTGCTGCTCCTTCCTTGCTTTCCAATTCACACAATAAAATGCTAATGCCTTTTTGGTAAAAAAAAAAAAAAAAGAAGAAGAAAAGAATCAAAAGTAGCCCATACAGAAGACCATGAAACAATCACTACAGAATACAAAGAAGAGGAAAATGAGGAGTTTGAAGACAAAACTACAAAAAAAATTTTAAGCAGAAACTTCTTATCACTTCACTAGGAATTAAACTAAGGATAAGGACAATTACAATTAATAGTCCAACACATCAAGCAGAAAGAAACCTAGTAAAATTTACTACACCACAAGATCAATCACATTTTCAATGTTTTACTTCACTTATATTCTCTTAACATTTACTCCCGTCATAAATTTTTATTAACCAGGCAAGCGTGAAGACAACATGCAATACAAGTATTTGCTCTCGAAATTCAGATATGAAAATACCATGTCAAATAAACGCTACTTTTAATAAGCTAACCCCTACAGGACACATTTTTACCGGGATACAAGTAATGCTCCATTTATTAAATTGGATTTTGGGATAGGTATGAATATACAAATACTCTCCTTGTTTTTGTATCTACTTTAAATTTCTTCAAACTTGAATTATTTATTTTTTTTAAAATTACTTAACATTTATATAATTTTTACTCTATTAAAATTTTTTGTCAAATATTATTTAATTGATGTAATTTTATAATTGATATTCTATATTGAAATTTTTGGTTTTTAAATATTTTATTTAAAAAATTTAATTAAACTTTTAGACAGATATAAATATATCTAATACTTGATAAAAATAAGAATAATGACCCAAATCTCATATTTGTCCATATGAAGATGAATATAGAATATAAAAATGACCTTAATGAAATTTGTACCTGCTCTGTACCATTGTCATTCCTACGTGAAATCCATAAAAAAAAATTCCTTTCTTGTTTATTTACTAACCGTACAAGAGAAAACACGACATTTCCCTTCTTTTTTTTTTGCTGGTTGCATTTGTTTTCTTTCTATTTTCATTGTAA